AACCTCACTTCTTCAGATGCAAGAAGTGAGGTTCTTACCCACGAAAGCTTATGCTCCCAATACTTCTGGTAGTCTTAAAGATGCCACAGGACCCTCTGTTGCTTTTTACTTATTTGAGTAGAGAGTCACTTCATCCATCCATCCATCCCTAGTAGAAGTTCAGTATTTCAGCCATACTGCTGTGGGCCGCAGGACAAAATGAGAAGTGTTTAACCTAAATTACCTAAGGATTATTTAAAATGATAACAATGTAACATATAATTCTTGGCCCTTCTCCTCCCAACACTCTCCATCTCTTCTCCCCCCTCAAAAAAAAAAAAAAAAAGTGGTTCCTGCTTTAACTTGTGAAGTATTTGACAGGTTCACAAGTATTTAGGAATGAGGGTCTAATTGGAAAGTGCCAGGTTCCTTTTTATTGCACTTTATCAATATTGTTAAGGGAGTGATGTAATTGTTTGGGGTATGGCGAAGACATTCCATGTCACTTCAGTGTTAATATCAGGCTGGAGCCTTCCTTGTCTGCCTGCGTAAGCTAGATAAACACAGACCTGTGTGCTTTCTTCTCATCTCAGGATACTTACTCAGAGAGACCTTGGAACATATGCCTATTGTGTGCTAAACATTTCACTTTTCATTTTATCCATGTGCCAGAAATCCATTCCTTGGATAAACACTTTACATACTGACACTCTTAAAGTCACTAAACATGATAAATAAAGAGAGAATACATCATTTCAGAACCGATTAAACATTTTCTCACTTGTGACAAATGAACAGCTATACACTGTATGGAGTCTCTAGAGCAGACATTCCATTTTCTTTGTCTTTATTTTGTGTGGAAGATTAACTTTCCATTTCAGCTCATCTATTGCACAACTCAGCTCTCTGAAGTACATATTCTCGCACTGAGCCCAAAACATTATTCAAATTAGATTATTTTTGCTAGTGCTTTTTACCTAGAGTTTCTGTATTTTTATGGAGTTGTCCAGTTTTAACATTCTTATGCTATAGCGAAAAAGAGAGTCTGTGTTTCTGCCTGGAAGTTAAAGAAATATTATCACATAAATGTATTTTTCCATAGCTAGTGAGTGGACAGAATAAATTCTGTCTCTTAATATTAAATCTTGGGTCTTAACATCATTGTTTTGTATACAACATAAAGGCTGCTAAAAGCCCAGATCATCCTTGCTAGACACATGCATGATGTGCTTATAAGGCATAATTCCTTTCCCCACCAACCTATGTAGGATCTAGATTCTGCAGAGAGAGGGTTAGTGGGCAGGAATAGACAAGGCCAGAGGAAGGACCATGGTGATGGACATTCTGTTCTCTTTTCCACTGTCCCTATAGACATTAGGTGTAGCCATAGCCATGGCCACAGGCACACATCATTAGAACAGTTCCAAATGAAGCTAGGCTAGCAAGGAAATGGGGAGGAAGCAGGGAAGAGGAACCAATCAGAAACAAAGGCAGTGCTGAGGCACAGGGTCCCTGGACAGAATCCTTGGGGATTTGCTAGGTTCGGAAGTGAACTTTGAAGCCTGACAGAACAATACAGTCGGAGTGCTCAAAAATTTCACTTGCTTACCCAGAGGTTGGGTTTTACTATGGGATTTGGGTTACAGCTTTTGAAGATCCTGAGCCTGCAGTTTAGCAATTATAAAACTCTAAATGATTTTAATTATGTCTTACTTATAATTTACCATGGCTTCAGATGAGCTAAAGTAACATTTTTGTTCCATTTTCACATCATGAGCCCCACTCACAAAAGTATTTATGCTGCACTACTTAGCAATCCTATATTCTCCCAGTTGAATTGAAAGAGATGAGAGCAAATCAAAGTTGACTATGTTATGGGGTTTTCTATTCACTGGGTATAACTTTGGCGCTATGATGATAATTAAATACAATTCTATGGAAAGAGAGTACGGTTTAACACCAAAAGAGACATAAGTCCTTGCACTTAATTAGCAAAGCCTATAAAAAGCATGTTAACCTACACACTTGTATCTAATAAGAAGTTCCAATTGCATTCACTAGTACTGGGTAAAAATAAATAAATTATACACCACAAATAAAACCAGGTAAAGAAATGCATTTATCAGTCTCCTCAGAAGATCCTAGAATATAAACAGTGTTTGTTTACTTATTTTTCATTTTGGTCCTTTACTGTGACTGACAAAATAATCTTTCCTCCCGTCATCTTTTACACCAACATTTAAACAAACATTGAAAAACACGTGTACATACATGTTACCCCCTCACACACACTACAAGTTGTGAAATACAGCACAGTTGAGGAATTTTCCCGATTTTGAAACTTTTACACTGCTCATATATGTAGTGAAATTTGTGGTTTCATCACAAAAATCATTTGAAGAAGAATTTGAGTTCTTACAGATCAAATCACATTTAATTATATCCATCCTTGATATTAAAAAAATATTATTTTGTACAGCAGACATTTCATAAGTGAAGAAAGCAGTATTTAAATGAATAATGGCAAGGGTGTGTGTATATTATATGTCTACTAAATCACCTAAGATCTTGTATCAGGGGGTAGCCGTGTTAGTCTGTATCTTGCATCCGAAGAAGTGAGGTTTTTACTCACGAAAGCTTATGCCCAAATAAATCTGTTAGTCTTTAAGGTGCCACCAGACTCCTTGTTGTTTTTCTAAGATCTTGTGTGGTTCAAACAGTTCACTCATACACCAATGTCTTTTTTTTTCTTTTTTTAAAACAAAGATGGGTATATTTCCAGTTATAATAGTTTTCTGTGCATGCTTGGGTTGTTTTGATTTTCTATTCTAAAGTTCAAAACAAAGCTGACAAATAAATATCACTTGTATTTTTTGAATGCATTTTTTTGCTATCCAGAAAATTCTGTTAGTGTTGGCTTGAAAAACACATCTTTCAAAGGAAAAAGTTTTATTGCGTTAGTTCATCTCACCTTTTATGTGCTTCTGTCAGTGACTTCTCCTCATTTTCTTGGTCGATTTTAGCTGCACAACAGACAGGAAATGGATTAGCTACAAGAAGCATACCTCACAAATTTCTTTAGTGATAAATGCTTTTTGTTGAAAATGTCCTGTAAAGTATTTATCTTTCAATTTATAAGAATGCGCATGTCAGGTTTTATTGACAAGTATATTAATTCTAAATCAACCATGAATTTTAGAACACAGCCCAATTTTAAAAGAATAAGCTCAAAAGGAGCTTGATGGAAAAAAAATACCCTCCCAATTTAACACAAATAAATGGGACCACATCATGGAAAAGGCTTAAATAAGTAGGCCTTAAAGAGAAAGACCTTGGAATCCCCCCTGAAAATCAACACTCTTGTGCTCTTATGGACCAAGAGGGAAATAATATTCCAGGAAGAAGTACTGAAAAATACCCTCCAACCAGGCCCCCCTAATATTTACATTTGATGACTGTGAGTAAAAGCCCCATAGCTGACTAACTGTTGGAGTATAGCCTTAGGAAAGAAGCATCTCTAGGAAATCCAGGATCCAAACCAGTAATGGACATGAGTGGATGTATAAAACCCACAATTAGCGCATTGTTAATGAGAGTCTCATTCCCGCAGTCAGAGACAGCTATCATTTTGCCAACAATGGTGCTCACAAAGAGAATTCAAAACACTGAGCTGTATTTGCTATAAATTTGTGAAGACTCCATTTTCCAATTTTAATTTTCTTTTGCTTTTCATTTTATTCCAATTTATCTTATTTATGCAGGAGCCTTGATAGACAAGGCACACAAAACCACAACACATTTCAACTCAGAGATTTTACCATTCTGAAGAACAGCAGGATGCCTGCTATGTGCATGTGTAAGCTCAGATTAAATTTACTCCTATGCATAAGGCTAACAAAAAAGCATGCACAATTTATTTTAACGGGTATTTTAACAGATTCCTTCAACCTGGAATCTGATTCCCCTCTTTGGTCCCTCAAAGCAAAAGTCTGCTGACTTGCAGAGTAATTTCCAAAGCCTACTTTGAGGGTGTAAGTGGGTCTTAAGTGGCGTGGAGGCTCTGTGTTGTCATAGAATCATAGGACTGGAAGGGACCTCAAGAGGTCATTTAGTCCAGTCCCCTGAACTTATGGCAGGACTAAGTATTATCTAGACCATCCCTGACAGGTGTTTGTCTAACCTGCTCTTAAAAACCTCCAATGATGGAGATTCCACAACCTCCCTAGGCAATTTATTCCAGTGCTTAGTTTTTCCTAATGTCCAACCTAAGCCTCCCTTGCTGCAATTTAAGCCCATTGCTTCTTGTCTTATCCTCAAAGGTTAAGAAAAACAATTTTTCTCCCTCCTCTTTGTAACAACCTTTTATGTACTTGAAAACTGTTATCATGTACCCCCCTTCAGTCTTCTCTTCATCAAGGTTGAATTTCTATACAGGATTGTAACATATGGCAAAAATCTAAAACGATTCTTACTTTTCATTCAGTTTACCACTTCACTGCTGCCAGCCATGCTCATCTAATAATGGCTGCTCAATATTGCCCCCACATTATAGGTAAATCACCTTTTGAAATACTAACGTCTACATTTACAAAAGGATGCTACTGCATCCTGAAACTATTAGTAGTTGCAACTCTGGCCGGAAATGATCAGAGCGGAAAGTGAATTTCAAACTGGTAGTAAGAATAATCACCAATGAGGATTCCTTCATCCATATAGCTCAAAACACTTTACAGAGTTGGGCTAGCACTACTGTGCCTATTTTACAGAGGGCAAGAGAGATGCAAAGTGATTTGCCCATGGTCACACAGCCAGTTAGAGCCAGGATGTGAATCCATGCTCATGGCTCCCACTCCAGTATCGACCCATTCAGCTATATACTTTTTAGCATAAAGATCACAGGGCTGACCCTGAAGCCCTTGCTATAGGTGTAGTGCTTACAACCATGAGTTGAGATCAACAGGATTACATGTGGTAACACGCATTATTTCTAGCAATAGTTATCGGAAAGTTCAGGCCCTATTTCAATGTTTAAAAAACAAACCACAGCAAACTTGAAGAGCACATGAAGCCTGCCTGATTATGGGTTTCATTACTAGCTTGAAACTCAGCCCAGATTCTTATAAACATTTGTGTAGCTTCACAATGCTTTTGAGAGAACCTGAGCCCAGTGTTGATTAAACCTGGGCTGACTTACGGGTTTACATGAGAGCCTTGCAGGGCTTCAGATGTGAAACCAGGTGAAACTTGGCAGTTTAAACTGAGCTTCATTATAATAATATATATATTTCTAACTTCAATCCTGTAACTTAAAGTGACACTCATTGTGAAACCATGTGGATGAAGACTGAACAAAATAGTTGAAAAGCTCCCTGTGTAACAAACGCACCAATCTCTCACTTTCGGTTCTATATCCCTATATAGAACTTCTAAAAATAAAAATAATTTATTACTGAAACATTTAACTTGGGCTCCTCTAATCCGCTTAAAATCCACTGCAGAAAAATTAGATTGGTTAATGTTTGACAAGCTGAGGTCAGTGGTTTTTAAATGCCTGTACAGTATCTGAAAGTCATAACTAAACAACATTCCCCACTATTTCCAAGATTACTTGGTTCTGACAAGATTGTTCAAGCTGGCGGCAGAGTTTTTCCCTTCTTTGCCCATTAGATGGTTTATACAAGCTTACAGGTCAATTGTTTACTATATAAAAATGGGGAAAATGTTCTGCAATTTACTGTTTGAAAGTGCTCAAGCATGAACAATATTACACCATAAAAATGTGCTTCAGGCTGAACAAGGCATGACTGAAAACATCTCCATGCTGGAGAACTTTAAAAAAAATGACAAGAAAAGTAGTTATCCTGAACATCCACACAGAGTAAGGGGGGTGGGGGGAGGAAATAGCTTTTTACAGAGATTTGTGCTTGTTAATATTTCATTTAGAAAAAGGACTAATATACATAGAACAGAACTTTGAGAAGTCCCTAAATGACACAAGGGCATAATCTGCCTATTTTTGTTAAAAGTTTTAAATATATACATACATGGTAGTCAGAGCTGCACAGACAGATTCTCTCCTGTATTAGACCACTACTGGGGAGGAAGGCAGAGTTTCCGGGGGTGGGGGGTGAAAGTCTGTTCCTCAAGGCTGGCCCATGCTACCCCAACCTCAGCCTCCATCCTAATGATACTTAAAGCAGGTGCTGGAGGCCATAACTCACTTGAAAATCTGGCCCACAGTTTACCTACCCTCGTAACTTTCTAGAAGTGAAGTGTTTTAAACTGTTAAAGAATAACACAAAAATGATTCTGCAGTAACATGAAGGTAAGTGACACACCCATGAAAGCAAGTTACATCAAGATTAAAACAGACACCTTCATGTGTTTTCTACTATGTAGCTCTCATGTAGTCCTTTTCATCAATAGATCTTAAATATCTTTACTACAAACTATTATTACATGGATCTCATGTACTATAGGTGTTTTTTGCTGGTGATCTTCTCCATAATGAAAATATTACATGTGTTGTTGTCATCATCTTCTCTTCCCTCTAACAGTTTAACTAATCCTTGACGCTAACCTTCTGGTCAGTCTCAAAGTTGCAGCTCACTCCTCCTAAAGGATGCATTACCCCAGTAAATGATAATCCCTAAATTTTATCTCCTGGATTAGGAACAGAACTTATTTTTTATTTATCTGCTTTCATACTCTCAATATTTCACAAGGGTCTGCATGCACTTAACAGCTCACATAGCATTGTAAGTACAAATCTACTTTAAAACAGAAATATATCGAATGGTAATATTGGCAAAGGTTGGGGGCTATTCTGGCTTTTTCATAAACTGCTTGGGTATCAAAGAATCAAGGGCTAAAAAGTGACTTTTCATGGGACAAGCGAAATGAGGTGCCTAAACCTCATACATACTGTACATTGACTATCTAATCTTTTTAATATTTCTATATATGGTGCATCATGATTTCTCATGGCAGGGTGTTCCATTGTTTAAGCTCTTATCAGGATATGTTCCTTATATTTAATCTACATTTGCCCTACCTTAGTGTAAAGCCCTATACTTCCTATAATACCTTATCATTTTTGGTCACAATTCTAGTACATTTCTTTGGCCTCATATCATTTCTCCACAAATATTTGTATACAAAGAATCATAGCCCCTTTCTATTCAATTCTTTCAGCTACAGTATATATGCATTGTTCAACTTTTTTCCTGTCTGACCTTCCAGCTCTTGTCTTTGCTGTTGTTCTTTGTGTTATCTTTATTTTACTGTTCTATGTTTTATAATCAGGTGTACAAAATTGTACACAGTATTCCACAAATACTCAGTCTACTGGAATTACCAATATGTACACATCACAAAATGGTATTTGTTTTTATCCTACAGCTTTGCACTTTAAATTCCTGCAGGCCTAGATTCTGCAGAGACTTAAACACATGCATAACTTTACACACGAGTAGCCACCCTGAAGTTAGATATTCCGATAATGGAATTTGAAGCATTGAAAATAAAAAGATTAGGAGAAGCATATACAGATTATCTAGAAATTGAAGATGTTTAGTAAAGAAATGTTATTTATGTTCCTGCAAATATAATTTAAAAAATATACAACATGAATTTGAGTTTAGAAAATGCACAGACTTAAGCATTCAAAGAAGGGTTTGCACGAATAGTCTCACTGACTTTGATGGTATGTCATGCTCCAGTCACACATTGCTCAAGTCCTGGTATGACTGGCTACTTAATGCAAAAAAAATCACCAAATCCTTTTTTTGTATTTCCACGCACCTAACATTTGCCTATATTGTTCTCCCCCAAGCAGATGTCTTTGAATTTTCTATATTAAACTTCATTTAAAAATATTTGTAGGAAAGTAAATGGTATTTTTCTGTTGCTAGCCTACTTCATCTTCTATGTATTCTCCACATTGCTCTATTTTTTGTGTTTGCAACTCCTTCAAATTCTCTTATCTACAAATCTGGCCCTTTCATCGCTTATCTCAGTTTCC